TGCTTGTTAACGCAAAATTTCTAATCAGCCAATCACATGGCATCTCAGTGCATTTAGGCATGTAGACATGGTCAAGATGATCTGCTGCAGTTCAAACTGAGCATCAGAATGGGGAAGAAAGGAGATTCAAGTGACTTTGAAGGTGGCATGGTTGTTGCTGCCAGATGAGCTGGTCTGAGTATTTCAGAAACTGCTGATCTACTAGGATTTTCACACACAACCATATCTAGGATTTACAGAGAATGGGCTGAAAAAGAGAAAATATCCAGTGAGCGGCAGTTCTGTGAGCGCAAATCCTTGATGATGCCAGAGGAGAATGGCCAGACTGATTCCAGCTGATAGTAAGGCAACAGTAACTTAAATAAGCACTCGTTACAACTGCAGAAGAGCATCTCTGAACGCACAACACGTCCAACCTTGAGGCAGATGTGCCACAGCAGCAGAAGACCACACCGGGTGCCACTCCTGTCAGCTAAGAACAGGAAACTGAGGCTACAATTCCCACAGGCTCACCAAAATTGGACAATAGATTAGAAAAATGCTGCCTGGTCTGATGAGTCTCGATTTCTGCTACGTCATTCAGATGGTAGGGTCAGAATTTGGCATCAACAACATGAAAGCATGCATCCATTCTGCCTTGTATCAATGGTTGGTGTAATGGTATGGGGGATATTTTCTTGTCACACTTAGTACCAATTAAGCATCGTGTCAACGCCACAGCCTACCTGAGTATTGTTGCTGACCATGTTTATCCCTTTTTGAACACAGTGTACCCATCTTCTGGTGGCTGCTTCCAGCAGGATAACGCGCCATGTTATAAAGCACAAATCATCTCAGACTGGTTTCTTGAAAATGACAATGAATTCACTGTACTCAAATGTCCTCCACAGTTAACAGTGCTCAATCCTATAGAGCACAGACTCGCATCATGGAGGTGCAGCAAACTAATCTGCAGCAACTGTGTGATGCTTTCAAGTCAATATAGAGCAAAATCTCTAAGGAATATTTCCGGTACCTTGATGAATCTGTGCCATGAAAGATTAAGGCAGTTCTGAAGGCAAAATAGGGTTTAACTCGGTACTACTAAGGTGTCCCTAATAAAGTGGCCAGTGAGTGTATTTATTAGTGCAATACTGTAGATATTTACATTAATGTTCCTCAAGAAATCAGCAGATTCCAGTGAAAGCAGGATATTTTCTTTCAGGGAAAACTGCTGTCGGATTCCACCACATGACAGCACAGTTGAAGCCTGAGAATACTGCAGAAAAAAAACAAAGATTAGATATACGTGTATATAAAAGTAAAGAGTCTTCTGTAATGTTTCACATAGCATTAGTGAAAACAAAACATCAAAATCATGGGTTAAATATTGTTCCAATCTCAAAGAGCAGAACTGATTAACAAGATAAGCATACGATTAAAAGATGCATTTATTTCATGTACACTCAAAAAAAAAAAAAAAAAAAAAAAAGTAAATATGAGATTTTTTTAGAGAGGCTCATTTGCACTGAATAAGTGGCCTGGAAAATCTCATTTAGTGTCATTTTTTAAATAATAATACATTCATTCATTGTCCTACGGCTTAGTCTCTATTTCAGAGGTCGCCACAGCGGAATGAACCGCCAACTATTTCGGCATACGTTTTACACAGGGGATGCCCTACCAGCCGCAACCCAGTACTGGGAAACACCCATACATTCTCGCATTCACACACATAAACTACAGCAGGGTTGCTCAACCCTGTTCCTGGAGCTCTACCTTCCTGCAGATTTTAGCTGCAACTCATAGCAAACACACCTGCCTGTAATTATCAAGTGCTGTTTAGGTCCTATTAAATTAGTTCAGGTGTGTGCCCTGCACTATGGCATACCTGCCAACATTAGCCTTGCTGAAGCTGCGGTCACACTGCACTTTTCTCTCCGTAGACTTCCATTCATACGCACGCGAATGCGTCAGACTGGAAACGCAAGGTCGTGTGGCAGTTTGCTGCACTGAGAAGTTCAAGCTTGGTTAACTCTGACCTGCGAAATCGCATCACATAATTACGTGAGACCAATCAAAGATCAAAACATGACCGCTCTGGACTGAAATGTAAAACATGGACCAATCGCTCGCTTTTTTAGATGTCTAATCATCTTATTTAATCCCGCCCCTTTTCGCAGCGCTGTACTACAGAATTTTGCACACACAAACTCTAGTGTGACTGCAGCATAATTCCAGGAGACCAGTGACAGAGGGTTGTCCGAGTAACACAGTTGAGAACAGGGGGAGGTTGGCAGTGCACGGTGATGTTTGTGGTGTTACTGAATATGGACTGGAGTTCCGGGCGGCTGCAGCAATCGGATACTATACTGAAGTTGCCAACACGGTGGTGTTACAGGCCGTACCAAAAAGTTGAGGGCTCAGGGGGAGGCGGGGGGCAGGTGGAATTACAGGAGATTTTCAGGAGAAATGACAAAACGGGTTTCCCAGAGGTGGGTTGCAGCTGGAAGGACATCCGCTGCGTAAAAACTTGCTAGATAGGTTGGCGGTTCATTCCGCTGTGGCAACCCCGGATTAATAAGGGGACTAAGCCGACAAGAAAATGAATGACTGACAAAGCGGGAGGGTGGTGGGACAAGGGTCTGAAATACGGGAGACTCCTGGAAAAAACGGGAGTGTTGGCAGGTATGCACTATGGCCGATTTAGCTCATTCAATGCACCTGTACCGCATATCATTGAACTGCGGGGGAAACCAGAGCACCTGGAGGAAACTGACGTGAACACGAGGAGAATATGCAAACTCCACACAGAAATGCCAACAGACCCAGTCAGGACTCGAACCAGCGACCTTCTTGCTGTGAGGCAACAGTGCTAACCATGAGCAACCATGTAGACCATAATAATGCATTACGAAGGGGAAATGAGATAATCAAACAAATGTTCTTGAATATATTTAATTGAATAGCTTCTATGTATTTTCTGAACTAACTGGGGATTATATTACCATAATGGCAATATTGATCTCTGACTAATACGAGTTGTACTGTACATTATGCTCATCTTCAAATCTTTAGAGTGTGTTCAAAATGGAGACTGCAAAGCTGAAATTAAATTAATTGAAATCTCCACTTGAAATGATTAGCCCTCTTGTTCATATCATTTTCTTTTTCATACATTTCCCAAATGATGCTTAATAGAGCAAGGCATTTTTCACAGCATGTCTGATAATATTTTTTTTCTTCTGGAGAAAGTCTTATTTGTTTTATTTTGGCTGGAATAGCCCCTTTAATCTTTATTTTTCAGTTGTCTACAGAACAAACCATCATTATATAATAACTTATCTAATTATTCTAACTTGCCTAATTAACCTAGTTAAGCCTTTAAATGTCACTTTAGGCTGTATAGAAGTGTCTTAAAAAATATCTAGTCAAATATTATTTACTGTCATCATGGCAAAGATAAAATAAATCTGTTATTAGAGATGAGTTATTAAAACTATTATGTTTAGAAATGTGCTGACAAAATCTTCTCTCCATTAAACAGAAATTGGGGGAAGAAATAATTCAGAAGAGCAAATAATTGAACTGTACACCCTCATATAAACTCACAGTAGGGTCTTTCTCCACCACCACCACTCTCAGAGCGCCCCTCGTTCTCTCTTTCCTCTTTATCCAGTATGCGATGGACCATCCCACTACGCCGCCTCCTATAATCACCACATCGGCCCTCTCAGGAGGCAGGCCGGGCGTCAGCTCAAATGGGCTCCAGTCACTGCCGGGCATCGCTTTCACAGCTTTTTTCCGAAACGCCCGGAACTGATCCTCCACTTCTGAAAAAAAAAAAAAAAACATGTTTTATGTTTATTTAAAGTTCTCAAGATGAATGTACAGTGTGCTTTCAGAGATATAATCAGAGGACGTTTACAAAGAATGTGCAATGGGTTATAGTCCAAATGTATAACAAAGGCAAGTCATAAACAATAATAGCAAATAGGTTAAATAATCATTTACTAAATAAATAAATACAACAATTTTTCAGAGCAAAATAATAATAAAATATAACATGTTTCTTAAATTATATGACTTACTGTCTGGACACTGGACATATGCATGGAAACATTTTTGAGGACAACACATACAAGTCTTGTCGCCTATCCAAGTTTTAGGAACAACAAATGATAACTTGACTTCTTATTGACCATTTGGTATCAGAAGTGGCTTATATGACAGGCAAAGGCCTCTAGATTACACTTATTCTACCAAAATAAAATATGATCATGCTTATTTAATTCATAATTAAATTCATATAGACATAATTCTTGTCACTTAACTGAAATAATGTCCAGTATAGAATATAAAGTCATGGTGCAGTGGAGGAAAAATTAATATTGTGTATGACTCCCATGAGCTTGGAGGACTGCATTCATACATCTCTGCAATGACTCAAATCACTTATTAATAAAGTCATCTGGAATGACAAAGAAAGTGTTCCTGCAGGACTCCCAGAGTGCATCAAGATTCTTTGGGTGCATCTTCAATGCCTCCTCCTTCATCTTACCACAGACATGATCATTAATGTTCAAGTCTGGTAACTGGGCTGGCCAATACTGGAGCACCTTGACCTTCTTTGCTTTCAGGAACTTTGATGTGGAGGCTGAAGTATGAGAAGGAGCGCTATCCTGCTGAAGATTTTGCCCTCTCGTGTGATTTGGGCAGCACAAATGTCTTGATACCTCAGGCTGCTGATGTTGCCATCCACTCTGCAGATCTCTCGCACGCCCCTATACTGAATGTAATCCCAAACCATGAATTTTCCTTCACCAAACTTGACTGATTTCTATGTGAATCTCGGGTCCATGCGAGTTCCAATAGGTCTTCTGCAATATTTGTGATGATTGGGATGCAGATCAACAGAGGATTCATCAGAAAAATCGAACTTCTGACACTTTTCCAAATGATCAACTAGAAGTCAAGTTATTATTTGGTGCTCTCACAACCGGCATCAACAACAAGACTTTTGTCAGGTAGTGTACTACTTAATACACTTCACTGAACATGTACACATAGACATAACGTATATACCATAAACTGCAGGTTAACTATTCATGCATGTACGTGTGTGTGTGTGTGTGTGTGTATATATGTATGTATATATATATATATATATATATATATATATATATATATATATATATATATATATATATATATATATATATATATATATATAAACCAAGATAATTTAATGAACCACAAAGTAGCATGGCTTTAGCTATTGAAATAAATCTTAAACGTGTTTCTAAATAAATTTAATGTCACCTACTAGATTAAATAAGAGAGGAAAAAAGTATAGATGGATTCAGATTTGGAAAATGTTTACAGTTCGTCATAATCTAAAACATAAAATGTAGATTGAGCTATACGTATTTTAACGTTTTAACTATTAATTCTGTTGCACTGTAATACTATTCATATTTTTAGATGTGATTATGATGCCAAACCATTATGATTACCTGACAAATTATCATAATTTACACTTATTGTCATTACATTAAAGAGTTTATGAATCCTACTTTGGTAACCGGTAATTCATGAATATTAATTACGCACTGCTACGTTCGCACTCACTGATTTGCTGAAAGGCACGCGGTAGTAGATGGGCGTTTTGTAATCGACCAATCTCCATCGACAAAAGCTTTGCCTCATGAATATTAAGTCAAGCAACGCCAGCTAAGGCAAAATTAATATTAATAAGTTCATTCCTTTCTCGTAGTACGGTTATTAAATAGATTTTTGTGAAGACAAGTGTGACTCTAGGAAACGCTGACTGGGTTAAACTTTAACTCCTTACGTACTAGTAAAATATACGAATGCATATATTAAGTGTATCGTTGTCTTACCTTCAAAAACGTCCTTGTCAGATCTCCTGCTGCTTTTAAAACTCCTGCAGGGTGCTTTCTGGGCTCGAAAAGCAGGGACAGTGGCGAATAACCTGCGCCACATTGTTATTGTCAGCAGACAGTCATTCAGTCATAAAACGCTCTCCTAATCACCTTCGACACTGACACGCCGCTTACGGACGAGTGTAAACTCATATTGACCACTGCGCATGCGCACAGTGACGCTACATTAAGAGCCGCCCACAACTGTGCTGTCATGAGCGGCCAGTAGAGAGAGATCAATGACTGTAAAAAAGATACTGAACTTTATAAAGTTACACACTATTATTACACGAAAACACACGATACAGAAATTTTTAACTTTATACCTATAGAAACTGGTTGGATATATTTTATGTATTTGAAAGTATATTTCACAGTACAAGAGCTGTCACTGGGGTGGACCTTTTCAAAAGATACACATTTGCACTAAAAGGGTGCATAAAAATACCTCAAAAGCTTTTATTTGTACCTAAACATTTTAAGAGGAACACTTTTGTACTTTTTAGGTACTAATATATACCCTTGATGTATTAATAGGGACCCTTCAGGTTCAAATGTGTAGCTTTTAAAAAGTGACCACCCCAGTGACAGCTCTCCTGTCTTTATTTCTGAGAGTGTAGTATTGCAGTTCTGTATTTTTGTAATACGTTATTTAAAATGTATTTATGAAGGGAGTTTTGTTGTTTGAGTTTCACAAAACCTTTTTTTTTTTTTTGAGTCTACTGCCATTAAATATATCAATTTCTAATTAATTATTATTTAAACTCACAAATAAAACAGCTTTGGTTGCTTATAAAGGAATTTATCCAGCTGAGATGTGTTTTTATCTAAATTCACAAATAAAAAAACAAGCTCACAAATTATGTACAGTTCATTAGCCGTGATTTGTGACTAGATTTTAATATTTGCATGTCCAGTAAGGAAGGAACGTATTACTATTTATAGGGGCCCCGGTTTAGAAAAGAAGTAATAACATTAAAATCTTAATGATTATAGACAGATTTTACAACATATAATAGAAACACTATTAAATACCTTTAGGATTATTAATATAGGCTTCTTGGCATTGGCCAAGGGATCCCTATTTCCCGGGGCCCTAAGCGGTTGCTTACCTTGCTTATTGGTTAAGTCCGCTCCTGATTGATGCAGAAATAAAGGTACAAGAGCTGTCACTGGGGTGGACCTTTTTAAATTTGCACTAAAAGGGTCCATAATGACACCTCAAAAGCTTTTATTTGTACCTAAACATTTTAAGAGGTAGACTTCTGTACTTTTTAGGTACTAATATGTACCCTTGATGTATTAATAGGGACCTTTTAGGTACAAATGTGTAGCTTTTTAAAAAGGGGCCACCCAGTGACAGCTCTCCTGCCTTTATTTCTGAGAGTGTAGTACAAAAGTATTGCAGTTCTGTATTTTTGTAATACGTTATTTAAAGTGTATTTATGAAGGGAGTTTTGTTGTTTGAGTTTCACAAAACTGTTTTTTTAGTCCTCTGCCATCAAATATATCAATTTCTAATTAATTATTATTTAAAACTCACAAATAAAACAGCTTTGCTTGCTTATAAAGGAGGTTATCCAGCTGAGATGTGTATTAATGTACTTTTAATTCATCCTCAGTCATTTCTCTTTGAAAGAAAACATCTCAGAGAAGTGTCCTGTTGCCATAGTTACAGTTTAGAATCATCATTTAGAACGCGTTCTGAGCTGTACGTAGAGCCGTGCAGCACTCTGAAAACTCTGGCTTAGAGGTTGTAGTTTGTGTCTGACATCGACTAAACAGCTTTCCTAGTGAAAAACTTGAGCTATCCATGGCTTTTCAAACTAGCGAAGCTACTGGTGATTTGCTGATGTCCGAGCTACATACCCCGAAGTTTTTTGGCAATCCACGGTGTAAGACCGAGATTGCCACCACTATGACTGCGGACCAGAAATATCGCAGTGACACACCGTCAACAATGTGTTTCCAACTGGAGGACGACCAATCGAGAATGGAGGAACCAGTGGTGAAGCCGAAGAAAAAGAGCTTCTTTAAACTGCCCTCTTTCCTCAGAGCTCACCCGAAAAATGTGCAGTCCAGTCAAACACCCGACAGCTCCAATGGTGAGCGGTATTTAGGCCTACACTGTAAAGGGGTTTCCCTGATATGAGATTATTTAAACCACATTCTATACAGTTTGAGGATTAATTCACCCAAAATATTACAATTCTGTTATTAATTGCTTAACCTTGTGTAGTTCCAACACCTTGAGACCTTCCTTAATGTTCTGGACACAGATGAATATATCTTAGATTAAATTGGAGAGCTTCATATAAGTTGTTGCAAACAATTTATATGTGTTGAATTTAAGCAAACAAATCAAATTTAGTAATATTCAACCTAATTTGTTTGTTTAAATTCAGCCCAAATAAATTGTTTACAAGCACTTAACTTAAAAATTAATGTTGTAAATCCACAGTACACATTTGAATATTGTTTTTCTTTATATTTCCTCTCAAATGACTGTGAAAAGTGTGTACTACAATCGTTTCTCTTTTAACAGATGAGCTGAAAGAAAAGAGGAAGAAAAAGAGCCGGCTGGCGTCGTTCTTCAGAGCGTGCAGAAAACACATGAAGATCTCTTGCCTCACGTCCAACAAAGAGATGGAGGATGAAGAGGAGGAAGAGCAGAAAGAGCTCCCAAACTCTCCAGACAAAGGCACTGATGGTAAATAAACACATCAGTCTATAATGCTATTAATACATTGTATTCTTCACACAGACATCTTGAAAATGACAGTGTAAAATGTGTATCCACTTCATTTCTCCTCTAACAGATGACTCTCTGTGCTGCTCCACGTTTGAGAACTGTCTGGATGTGAATTCTGTCATCATTCATGAAATACGCTCTGTGGAGGACGAGATGGACGTCAGTAAAGGAGAAATCCCACTGACACACACTGACTTATCCTGCAGAGAACAAGAGGAGGAGAAGGAGGACAGGATTATGGAGGAGGAGGTGAAAGACAAGAAAAAGAGAAGGAGAAGGAAGAAAGTGGAGAAGGTGGAGGAGCCAGTGATGGAGAAGGAGGAGGAAAAGATTAAAGAGGAGGACGGAGGGAAAGAGAGAAAGATAAAAGAGGAGGAAACAAATGAGACAATGATGGAGAAGGAGGTGGACAAGACTGAGGAGGAGGAGGATGGAAGGAAAAAGAGAAAGAGAAGGATGAAAGAGGAGAAAAAGGAGCGAAGGAGCAGGAGGAAAGAGGAGAAGGAGAGGAGCAGGATGAAAGAGGAGAAGGAAAGTGAGGAGGATGAGGAGGACATTGAGATGATGGACTTGAAAGAGGAGATAAAGGAGGAGGAGGAGGTGAAGAAGAGAAACAGAAAGAGGAAAATCAGCAGCAGGATGAGCAGGAGAATGATGAGAAGGAGAAATAAGAGGAGGAGAATGAGAGGATGATGGAGGAGGTGGAGAGAAACAATAAAAGATGCATTCAAATTCTTTTGTCCCCGTCTGTTTTGTTCATCTGTTCAAATATCTGATTAAAACGAACTCTTGTGTCTGGTGTTGTAAATAAACTGAAAAACATAATAATAATCAGCAGCAGGATGACGATGAGGAGGAGAAGTCAAAGGAGAAGGATGAGAAGATGAAACAGGAAAAGAAAACAGTGTAACCTGCTGCTGGGCCCCTAAATTACCAGGGCCCTATGAACTCTGTCACCTTAAGACGCAGCTACACACACACACAAACATACACACACAGGTGTATTGGTGTGGGAAATATTTTCTTGGCACACTTTGGGTCCATTAGTACCAATTGGGCATTGTGTCAACACCACAGCGTACCTGAGTATTGTTGCTGACCATGTTCATCCCTTTATGACCACAGTGTACTCATCTTCTGATGGCTACTTCCAGCAGGGTAACGCTCCATGTCATAAAGCACGAATCATCTCAGACTGAATTCTTGATAATGAGTTCACTGTAGTCAAATGGCCTCAACAGTCACCATATCTCAATCCAATAGAGCACCTTTGGGATGTGGTGAAACGGGAGATTCACATCATGGATATGCAGCCGACAAATCCGCAGCAACTGCGTGATGCTATCATGTCAATATGGAGCAAAATCTCTAAGGAATATTTCCAGGACCTTGTTGGTGTACCTAATAAAGTGGCCGGTGACTGTATATACACATACACACAACATAAACATATGTATATGTGTGTGCGTGCATGCATTGTGTAAGATATACAATTATTAGTTATTTTTTCAAATTGATAAACTTTAAATGTATAAAACTAGACATAATCGAGACACGTTTTGCGAAAGTTAGCTTGCCAAACCAGGTTAGTGTGTGTTACAAAATGTTTTAACCCTTTTAAAAAATATTAGCTGGTTTCATGTTTCAAAATTAAGCATATCAGTGCACCCTAGTTAGATAAAAATACTAAAAAACATAATGTAGTTTTGCTAAAAAGAAATAATAATAATAAAGGAAAAGCATTCAGTATTTAAAATAATCCTGTTGACACATAGGCAACATTAAGTACACATACAATCAACTTGTATACTACATTTTTACACTTTTATACATCCTATATTATACTGCTGGTTTCATGTGACCTGTTTGAATTGATGACATGTGCTGAAACAAACAAAATCACTTATTCCGGTGCAGGGGCGGACTGGCCATCTGGCAATTCTGGCAAATGCCAGAAGGGCTGGACCATTTTTTAAATGTGGGCCGGTCAGCTATTTTTAAATTTTTTTTTCATATGTATTGTTTTTTAAATATAGGCAGCTTTTATCTCTTGCGAGATGTAAATATTATGATGATGATGGTGATAATAGTAAGAATAATAGTAAATGTTAAGGATTGGCTCAATCGGCAACAACCGGCTGGTTTCAAGATGGGCCGACCCAATCTGAGGTTACGCAGACGTAATCAAAATCTGTCAAAAATGTCAAACAAACAGTAAGTGCATCACAAGCTAATTGTCTGAGATAGACCATAAAAAGGGAAAGGCAGTCAAGTCAGACATTGCCAAATACATAAAAGTTACTAAACTAGTCTCGAAAGGGGGCAGTGCAGTGGCGTAGGTAGTGTAGTAGG